TTTGGTTGAAAATTTTTAAAAATTTTTTTGCGCAACAATCTTTCTGACTTCGGCCGTTCCACATTTCGTTTTTTTTTTGGACCGTCTACTTGTTTTGAGATTACGATTCGGCTTTCTAACGGCCGCCGCAATTTATTACCCAAATATGCCTGATATTTGCTGAAAGATGCCATGTGGCAACTTTGGGGAAACTGTAGAAGGGCTTTTTCACATCCTCCCTTTTCTATCGTCCTTTCTTATATTTTCCAACAGCACTTACACATTTTTCTATTAACTTTAAACAGTGAAAAAGAAGAGTCACTCGTATGCCTACCCAGAACTGCATAAACAAGGCGTGTTCTGCACCAAGTAGAGGGGAAAATCCTGCATCAAAAATGAGAAAAATCAGACCAGTAGAGAGCCGAATAATGAATTCCGAAGCCAAATTCAATAAAAACCAAAACCCTATCAAAACCCCCTCTTTGTGAGAAACAGAGGCAAAAACAAAAAACATTCCAAGGATAGCAAATTCCAAAAACAACCACTCGCTGGCAAAGCTGTCCAACAACTCTTTTTTCCGGGGTTTACAAGCAAACAAATGGTCATTTTAATTTTTTTTGGGCATGTGCCAATACAATCGAAACGAATGAACGAATCCTATGGAAGGCCTGTTCAAATCCTATTAACCAATTCGAATTTTTGATCATCTTAACGAAAAAACAGTGCAATCTCGGCATCGAATCCGTAAAAATTTCCATTTAAAAAATAAATATTAAAAAAAAAGCGTAAACGGCAAAAAAACCTGAGATATTCGCTATTTTGATCAAAAACATCCAGACTTTCTCCACTGATTGTAAATGCAAAAAGTAGCTCAGCAAAATGGTCCAAAAATTCCGGAACAACAACACTGTGTTCATCACCCAGCAACACGGGGAATTCTTTGGCCAGTAAAGCAGTGAATTGTGGTGACATGATTTGATAATACATGGCAAGATCGTATACACGCCGAGCAATCGTTTCCAGATTTGACAAATTCTAAAACAAAAATTATAAAAAATAAGCTGATAACACGCCTCCCACCCCCGCCCCCCTCGCTCAGTTTTTCAAAAAATACAAGTTTCATCCTTTACTCTGCGATTCTCACAAGATGCAAATATAAATGTATAAATATAATTATATGTAACGTTTCCTTAGTTTTCATATAACATTCTTCCTTTTCGTACAATGAGTCACTACCGTACACCCTTCCATATCACTCTTTTATTTCTCTCATCATTAACATTTTTCTTATTTTAGCTCCATTTCCCACCAAACAACCTTTTTTTTATGGGCCTCCCGTCTGGTGCCATCTTCTATTTTATCGGAAGGGCTCACATTTCTCCTTTTCCCGGATGGTACCAACTTTCCTTATTTGAACACCCCATTCTTTCACGCTGGAGCTTCGTCCTGGCCTTGGTCATCGGTCTGGTACGGCTTGAAGTCTTCATCGTCTGTTCTCCAGCGACGCCGTCTACCTAACCTCCACCTCTGAGACAAACCGAAGAGCCCTGCTCGTCCACACAGTCTCATCCCCCGATACTGAAACCATGGCTATCTTCTTGGATATCGCCGTGCGTAAGTAATTCATAGAAATTCGTTATTTTGCTCCTTGCACTCACAACACATAAACAAACGCACACTGATCCACCGCACTTTTACTAATAGCTGAGCATGCAAAAGTGCTCGTTTGCAAAGCTATGATATATTGATCGGCGTGCTTTAATGCAGTAGTTAAGTTACGCTTACAAAACCGGTACAGAGTTGGCCATCTCAGCCATTTTTCAAGAGTCACCGTTTTTCTTCGACCGTTCTACCAGCCACATTGTATGGGTGTGAGACGTGGAATATCACGCTTGCTGAAGAACGAAAATTAGCAGTGTTTCAAATAGCCATGGAGCGACGGATAGCTGGCGTCAACAGGCTGCAGCAGCACATTCCGAATAAAGTGCTCCGAGTCAGATCTGGCGTGAAAGACATTATTGAAGCAATGTACACCAGCAAGAAGAGATGCGCTCGTTATGTGGCACGGATGACTGATAACAGATGGGCGAAGCGGATAATTGAATGGTATCCACGCACGGTGAAGGCGAACATTGGTGAGGCCACCATTGAGTGTGGAGAGACTCCATGGTACGCCCGCACGGTACCACGTGGACTCGGACAGTGCAACAACGAGATGAACGGAGAAATTGCCAGTGCTGCATCGATGGCGTGACAATGAGCGTCGATGACATACGGCTGCTCAAGTACCGTTTTTTTCTCGGAGCAATCTTAGAACAATTGTGTTAAGGGACAGTAATAACAGGATGGCTTTTTGGGACTGCGTTGCTTTCCGTTCAGATTCACTGACGCTGCAATACTTTCAGGCAGTAACGGTTTTTTCAGGAAACAACAGAAGTTAAATGTATACGACTTAATGGACCGAAACATTTCTTACCATTTTAATAATCTCATAAATTTTCTAATTTTCGCTTCCCATCTTCCTTTTTTTTTCTTTTTATTTCATTCCTTCTTATCATGCCTTTCTATTACACGATAAGCTAACCTGGCAGATGATGTATTTTCGGTCATAGTAATTTAATTGCAATTATTACGTGAATGTACATGCCAGAAAACAAAAACTGATTAAAGTAATAAAATAAAAATCCCAGTGAACGCGATAAGAACAGGTCTACCGGAATAAGTGCTGTCAGATCACGACGCACAAACTGTTCGATTCGTGGTCTTTCGGTTATTTCATTGTCCCGGAAATATTGCGGTGAAATGCGGCCCCGACGCAATGTTGATGAGCCAGCTACCAATGGAAAACGATGCAGTTGCCGATCATAAATCAATATGCGAAATGTTGGATCGGATACAATATCGCGTCTAAAAAAAAGCCATTTTTTTTTTAAATTTCCAAAAAAAAAAATGACGAAAACCTACAGCAAACAACAAAATATTCAGTACTACGACTATAGAATAATCATACACTTATAGTGCACCAACCTCAAAAAAATTTTTCACTTGCTTAAAAATTTTGTAAAATTTTGTTGCAAAAATTTTATAAAATTTTGTGCTCACGTAATTTTGTATAGGATCAAACTCCGGGGCTAGAAATTCGGGTACTAAAACTCACCGCTTTCGGGCCTCTAGCTTAAAAAAAATTCTTCAATTAAAAAAAAAATATGGTCCAAAATTTCCCGAAACAAATTTCAGTACATTATCTTGTGCGAAACACTAAGCACAAAGAAACTAGTACGAGCGAAAAAAAATTTTTTTTGCAGTATGATCAGTGTTTATTTGATGCCGAAATCTAGTGAAGCATGAAGATACAGATGCAGTTCTTAACTGTTATTAGACCAAATCTTAGTTTTTTAGCCAGTCTAGCCGTACAGCTGAAAGCCGGATTAAATCGATGCCGAAAAATTATCCAGATCTTGAAATTTTAGTTACGCATAACGGAATAAAGTCGCTAAAGTTCAGCTTCATAACTGCTTTTCTGCTCCCGCAAAATATACTTCTTTGCTGCAACTATATTTGCCGTGCCAGCACGCATGAAACGGGCGTATGCGAGAGCTAATTTTAAATTTACTGGTTCCCAAACAGGCGAGAAATGTTCTTATAAAATTATAGCCTTGTATAAAAGACAAATTTCGGATTGGCATTTTGCCAATTATGTCTGAGTCTCAAGTTGACTTGCTCGTCAAAATGATGCACACGTGTGTTAAAACTGAATTTGAAATCTTTAGCTCGCAAAAAAGTACGGAATATCCTTATGGCGTTTCAACTTCCTAGCTTGTCTGGTTCCCAGAATCG